CTGGTTGTGTAGTAAACATTTTCCCATAACATCAGGTATTTGTATATGGTAAATACAGTATCAGCCTACTGTTCAAATAACTTTCACTCTGTGCTTTAGCTGATGTGTAATGTATGGATTAACACTGTGTTCTCATGTGTTTCTACAGTTTGGAGACACAACACACACATTTGTAGAACGAGGTGAATACAATGGCTTGTTCCTTCCAGGTTATAAGAAGCCATTAAGCGACGATATTTTGCTTCCAAAACTGTAAGTACAGAATGATTCATTTTTTTAAGTTTATTTGGAAAGTAACTTGGTTTTGAAAAAACTTTTAATGGTATAATGTAGTTTGAGATATTTATTTTATGGATATTATTGAAATTCAAACTTTCTTATCTCAATGGATATATCAAGATAGGTACATGTTTTCAGCATGGGTATCTCAAAGAATGTTTTATATGATAGCTACACATTTTCAACATGTGTATCTCAACAAATATTTTGTAAAATAGCTACGTGGATTTAGCAATAGAACTGATAAAAAAACTGGCTGAAAAATTACATTTTATTTCTGTGTAATATAAGTTCAAGGGAGCCAAATTACAATTTTCAAGTTATGATCCTAGCCTTTCTTAGGCATTTCATATAATTGGGATATAAATGTCTATTGATATGAGAAAACATAAGACAATTATTAATTATAACAATTCTAATGAGAAGCACAGAGTTTTTCTATGTATTTATAATGTCGTCTTGTCCTTAGGCCTGATGTTGGTTTGAAGTTCATTGACCACTGTGTAGGAAACCAACCTGATGACCACATGAATTCAGTTGCTGAATGGTAAGTTATATACTCTACAGAGTTTGTCCTGTTGAATATGTTACTCAAGTTATGAAGTTGGATGTTCACCTTATTATTGAAACTATAGGTTGTATAGCTTAGATTCTTAGAATCTCCCATTGAATGTTAAAATGTTAGTTACATATAAAATGTTTAATAGATTCCGTAGAATCTCCTGTTTTTAACCAAATTTAAAATGAAAATTAGAAAATTTAACATGGCTGTGTAATAACTTTATAAATAACATGTTTTGTGTATTTAAACATATAAGGATTAGAACATTTTCTGTAGGTATGAGAAACATTTGATGTTTCACCGTTTCTGGTCAGTGGATGATAGTCAGGTTCACACCCAGTACTCGTCTCTCAGATCAGTAGTAGTGAGTAACTGGGAGGAGACCATCAAGATTCCCATCAATGAACCAGCACCTGGAAAGAAAAAATCACAGATACAGGCAAGTTATTACTGAATTCCTTCTCATAGTTTCCAGAAGTAGAAGTCACAGATATAGTCCAGTTATTACTGAATTCCTTATCATAGTTTCTAGAACTAAAAAACATCAATTAAAGACTTCACTTTAAGGCTTAATTTCTTATGTCAAACTCACTTATTTTTGTAAGTCTATAAAAAAAAGCATTATACAGTATCTAAATAAAAAATTTAACCTCAATATACGAGTCTACGTGATGGTGTGTTCACACATTCTCTTTGTGTCTTTTTAGGCCTTATAACAGCAACCAATATCTGGTGTATAAAATCAGCTCATAGTTCAGTGGCTGTTTGAAAATATTATATATATGTCACTTAAACTTAAAAACCTATGATTCAATAAGAATTTATCACAAGCACAACATTTAGTAAGAAAGGTTTTATCTTTTAAAAACTATCCACCTCATAGTGATAATTATTATAAAATTAAAATTAACCTTTGACATTAATGTATGTGTGTGTATCTAATAATATTTTATGTGTATGATAGTTATTTACAGTTTTCACTTTTTATTACATAATTATTGTTATAATAAATGAGAAACTGCTGTAAAATGCTTACTTACTATGCTATGATAATGAAAACTGATACTCAAGGTGAAGTTAAGGACAGATAAGTGATATGCACCCAGAAATGTAACAATTTGCAAGCTGTTATTTTTTTTATCTGTCTTAAACTTTAACAGATATGTAAAGAAATTTTGAGATACAAGTACCTTTATACTCCTGACGTGATTTTGATCTGCTCTTAAAAAAGTGATTATTCCTGAAAAACATTCATAAATAGATTTTATGATGCAAAGGAACTTCAAGCATATTAAATTACACTGAATTGGAAGATGTTATAATTGTGTCTTATTTAATAAAGTATTTTATTCTAAATATGGAAAAGTAATTAACACCATGTTAATATAGAAAATAACAATGTAAATGTGCTGAATAATATTGAAATTAATGTGAGAGAGCTTGAATACTTGACTCGGTCAGAATTTATTAACTGATAGCCTCACTGTAATACTTTCTTTTCAGGAATATGTTGATTACTATGGAAGTGCAGGAGAGCTTGAATACTTGACTCGGTCAGAATTTATTAACTGATAGCCTCACTGTAATACTTTCTTTTCAGGAATATGTTGATTACTATGGAAGTGCAGGAATTCAACACATCGCTCTGAACACTGATAACATCATCGAAACTGTAAGTCTATCGTACCTATCTTCAAAAACATTGAAATTTCCTGCCACTCACCACGTTGCTATCTCACAAAATTCTTAATGAAGCAATAAATTAGTTGTTAACCATTTATAGGTTATTTAGTTTAAATATTCAGTTTAAATCTCAGTTAAGAGTTATCTTATCAAGGCATAATACACATTATGATGGTCAATAATACAAAATATTTTTGAACTTACAACTTTTTTTTTTTTATTAATCAATACATTATGACATGAATATTATATACCTTTATAAACGTTTTACAAATAAAATTAACCTGGTGGAGAACTTCAGCAAAATATCTTTATTATAAATGTAAAGTAAACAAAGTTTATTTATTTTAAATAATCTCTAAATGAATGATTTTCATGCTTAGCATATGTTATTTAGTTTAAATGATTCAAACTAAAGACATATAGAACAGTAATTTTCTAATTAGCATGTTGAAAGAATTCTTCATGATGTTCATTTCAGGTTGGAAAGTCTCAATGGCCAATAGCCTCTTTGAATTTTCTTAGAAAACATTTCAGTATTTCATTAATGAATAGTCAAATAAGTGTACAATGTATTTAGAAAATAAACAAATGGTATATATTGCTGTTTCTAAATGTTTCCTTTGTTCAGCCTTTTCTGAACTAAAGAGCTAATAGTCTAAGCTATCATCATAGATCATTAACCTTCGTGCCCGAGGAATGAAATTTCTGACTATACCGGAATCGTACTACAAACTGTTGCGGGAAAAACTGAAAAACTCAAAGGTCAAGATAGAAGAAGACTTGAATATGGTAATTCACATATAGTTTGCTCTAATATATTTTGAATAAAGGAGTTAATTCTATTAATTAAAAGATTTCATTTGACATAAGAAGTGTTAAATGACACTGTATCTGATGGATAAATGATACTAGTAAATACTTCTAACATCTTTGAAGATTTTCATCTTCTACAAAATACAGATCCAAGGTGTTTGTTCCTAAAACCAGCTTTAAAGCTACGGAGCTTTGGTAAGCAGTGAATGCAAGTGTTTTGATCACAGTCAGCATTGAAACTATGTAGTTTTGACATTTAGCACATGTGAAACATGTTTAATTCTTGAACAATTTTTTAGAAAAACATGTTAAAGCATTTTTTTAATTTTCTAAACTTCCCTTTTTTTATAACAAATAATTAATGTTTTACAACAAAAAAAGTAATTTTATGATCTTCTATGAATACTGATATATTTTAGCATTACTTCCAAGCTTGAGACAGACTTTTTTATGAATATACTTTTATAAAATTGTATTTATCAAATATCACACCACACATTATAAGAGTATTTGAAAATTTTATATTTTATGTTAAATTAGATCTTGCTGTATTTTATTGCCTTTTTCACCCTAGGTTGACAGAAACAATAAGATGTCATGTCTTCATGTAAATGCTTACAAATTAAATCAATAACCCTCTTCTGAAATGAGTGTGTTAATATAATAGGAAATTAAACCTTTTATAGATACAGAAACTTCATATACTAGTGGACTTTGATGACAATGGCTATCTGCTACAGATATTCACTAAACCAATGCAGGATAGACCAACTTTATTCTTAGAAGCTATTCAACGACACAATCACTCGGTAAGTAGTTTAAGAAACTTGTTAGTACTAGAATAATAGAAAGGAAACATTAACAGTTGATTAAGGGCCAATAGCAGTGCTTGAGTCCCAAAGAATAGTGTTAGACTGCATTATATCATTTTAACAAGAGTTAGAAATTAACTAAAAATAATGTACTTATACCTGTGTTTTGTAGTTAATGAAAACTAAAACTAAAATGGTTAAAATAAAACAATAAGATAATGAAAGAGAAACTAATAAGGTTAGTTATTTGGCATTTATTGGTGCAAAGCAACGAGGCTATCTGTGCCAAACAACTGTTATAAAGGCAAAAATAAGTAAAACACTATAAAAAGTAAAAGGAAAACAAGCTAAAAGCTAAACAACATACATAAAACATGTGAAACATCAGATAGAATTAAAGAGGACAATGACCTGTAAAAAGCTAAAAACACAATCAATTCAAACAGTGTCACCATCTAAAAACTAGTTTATTGTCTCTTTTTTAATGATTAACTTGATTACTTGAACTTAGATCCGTTAGTTTAAATTCAGCCTATAGTTATAGGTAGGTTATAATATAAATCAGGCTAAATACATTTTATTATTAACATTACGTATACATATAAGACTAATAATGCTTGAGACAGCTTGAATGGGTAATGAAGAAAAACTTTAATATAAGTTTAACGTAACAGCAAATGTACAACGTTTCGACAAGGTTTTGTCATCATCAGGTACAAGTAGTTTACACTGACACATTTTTTATCACTAGTTTGTCTCCACACTAAAATAATAAAGTTTATCTTTAATTATATACAACTTTATTAGAAGTGACAATACCTAGTCTTATATGTTCGATGACGATGAACCCAAAACCCACTCTTTGTATCTGGTGATGTGAACTCTTTGTTCCATACTATATATATAAGTGTGTGTGTATTTTTAATAGATATACACAGTAATTTTAAACAAAGAACCAAACATAAACAAACGAAAAATCAAGGAATCCATCTTAATTGAACAAAACAACCCCGCTCTAAACCAACACCCTGGGGTGCCAAGATATCGCTTCAAAGTCTTGCAACAGTATCCAGTCATGTGACCTCTTTGTTCCATACTGTATATATATATATATATGTACTAATAATATAATTGGTTCTTAAACAATAGGCTACTCGTATTGAGTATTTATTTCCAGGCTATAAGTATCAATGGTTAAGACTAGTGTAGGAGTTAAGTGTTCACATTTTGTTAGATGTATTGGGTGCAATGAGTGGGTTTTATTTGGGAACTCAGGACTGGCATGTACTTTCAAGGAAGCTAGTAATGAAGATGTGCAATTTGTATGTAGAATTTGTGGGTTGGAGGCTATCATAATTAAAGTAGAGGCAATAGATAAAGATAAGTTTAGACTGTGTGAAATGGCAGAAGGATTTCAGGAGGAACTTAAGCTTTTACATGCAAGGAATACATCAGCTAACAATGACTTTCAGGAAGCTAGAAAGTGTACTGTTAGGGCTAAAAGTAATGGATTTAACTGTAAAGAACCTTGGCTTCTGCAGACGAGGAAATTAAAAGGGTCAGAGAAGGATGTGGATGATAAGGAGGTTATAGTTATAGGTGGTTCCTTGACAAGGCATGTGGATAGGATTGTCTTTAGGGTAAATAGGGAGAAAAGAATCAGATTATGCTACCCAGGGGCACAGGTGGAGGATATAACTGACAGAGCAGGAGATATAATAAAGAGGGCTAGCAGAGATGCAGTTTTTGTGGTGCATGTAGGGGCTAATGATGTAGGGAAAGGTAGGTCAGAGGAGCTAATTAATAAGTACAAGGGGTTGATAAAGGCACTTAAAGAAAAAGGACATAACTTAATTTTGTAAGGGATACTGCCCAGAATTAATTGTGGGAATGAAGTTATAAGTAGATCACTAGGGCTAAATTCTAGGCTTAGGTTGGTATAAATTATGAGAAATTGGCTGGTTGGACTTGTGGGATCAGTTCAATGGAAGAAGGGAGCTTTTTAGAATGTATGGTTTACATTTAAATGAGATAGGGGCTGGCTTGTTTGCTACAGCTGTTAACTAAGCTGTAAGGGAAGTTTTAAACTAGGAGTAGACAGTGGTGAGGGCCAGGAAAAACTAAATGCAAAAATAATACAAAGAAGAGAAAAGTGTAGCATAGGAAATGAGTATAGAATTAGTTATAAGGATAGGCTTAATTGTTACTAGTGT